TTTTTTTAATTTATTTCTTACGTAATTTTATTTTAAGAGTGTCTGTTTCCATTATTGCTATTTCAAAATTCTGCTAAATTTAGCGACTAGTACTAGAAGGCAGTATCATACAATAAGATTTCTTTAAAAAACCTTCTGACAAATCTTTCAATCCGTTCCTGGTTTTTTTTTGTAGAGCAAAAGCTGATCAGACTGTGACAGAGGAGAACAGAAAATATTTTGAAATTTTTACAGTTGTTAAATAATCTGTGTAAAACGATAGCTGAATACCAGGCGACTGCTAAACTTTAAGTTGTCGAAAAGACAATATTATTTGATAATTTTGCTGCTGTAAGTACTGCATGTGCTGTTTAGTGCATGAAGATGAGCCGGAAACCCGTACCATGAAAAGAAGCAAAGAGAACAATAAAAGAAGAAACTGTCTGACAACAATCAGTATGATGAAAGAGTTAATTTATTTTTTTCAGATTTGGTTCATCACAGTATAACTGATATTCTAACCTGTTTTATGGCCATTATGTTCTTTTCAACATTTGTTAAAGCAGTACAACGCATAAGAACTTTCAATGAGTTTTATTACTTCCACCAAAAACTGTTGAAACATTTCTGAAAACGCAAACAGCTGATCAGAAGAGCATTCGAACTCTAATATTGTGGGTTAAATTTGAGGTGCTAAATAAAAGTATTAAAAGCTTAGTGGTCTAGTTCCAACATTTGCTAAAGCTCATAAAACAATAAACTTTTTTTTTTCTGCTTTAGAATTTTAGCCGAAAGCTGTTGAAACAGTGGTGAAAACGGGAAACAACTAAAGAGCATTTTATTTTTCATTATTTTGGCTTAGATTTAAGCGGTGAATGAAAATATCAAAATTTATGAAAGTTGTCGTTATCTTTCATAACATTATTTTTGTTGAAACTACACCAATTTATTTTATTTTCAACTGCTTTTGAAGAATAAAAAAAACCTGGCTGTAAAATTGTATAAAACATAATTTATTTGTTTTTAAATAACAAAAATTAGGATTTGTTATATTTCTGTACCAAAAAAAAGTTTTTTTTTTTCCTAAAATTTTTGTTGCTTTTTTATTTTTTATACCATTCTTTATCTCCTTATATAACAAGTTGTCAACTTCATACAATAATCATGATTGACTTTTTACATTACCTTTAGTATATATATTTTCCTATTTGCCTAGAAAACTGTGTTAGCAGCTTCAATTAGTTTTAGCTGTACATTGGTTGGTGTTTATTTCAGGTTGGTTTAGGAGAATAGACAAACCATAGGCTGTTTAATTTCTGATATAGTTTTACAGAAACATTATGCTGATATATAACCGATTATTAGAATTATGTCATAGACGATCTACCGTCTAGGGCTGGAGTTACCAATGGAAACACCGCTATGTACAGCTAAAGTTTATCGATAACAGATGGTTGCTTACAGAATACAATAATTCTAAAAGTATCGGGTTTTCT